AGGTAGGTGTGAGTGTGTGTCAGGCGGGTGTGTAGGTAGGTGTGTAGGTAGGTGTGAGTGTGTGTCAGGCGGGTGTGTAGGTAGGTGTGTAGGTAGGTGTGAGTGTGTGTCAGGCGGGTGTGTAGGTAGGTGTGTAGGTAGGTGTGAGTGTGTGTCAGGCGGGTGTGTAGGTAGGTGTGTGGGTAGGTGTGAGTGTGTGTCAGGCGGGTGTGTAGGTAGGTGTGTAGGTAGGTGTGAGTGTGTGTCAGGCGGGTGTGTAGGTAGGTGTGTAGGTAGGTGTGAGTGTGTGTCAGGCGGGTGTGTAGGTAGGTGTGTAGGTAGGTGTGAGTGTGTGTCAGGCGGGTTTGTAGGTAGGTGTGTAGGTAGGTGTGAGTGTGTGTCAGGCTGGTGTGTAGGTAGGTGTGTAGGTAGGTGTGAGTGTGTGTCAGGCGGGTTTGTAGGTAGGTGTGTAGGTAGGTGTGAGTGTGTGTCAGGCTGGTGTGTAGGTAGGTGTGTAGGTAGGTGTGAGTGTGTGTCAGGCGGGTGTGTAGGTAGGTGTGTAGGTAGGTGTGAGTGTGTGTCAGGCGGGTGTGTAGGTAGGTGTGTAGGTAGGTGTGAGTGTGTGTCAGGCGGGTGTGTAGGTAGGTGTGTGGGTAGGTGTGAGTGTGTGTCAGGCGGGTGTGTAGGTAGGTGTGTAGGTAGGTGTGAGTGTGTGTCAGGCGGGTGTGTAGGTAGGTGTGTGGGTAGGTGTGAGTGTGTGTCAGGCGGGTGGGGGGAAGATTTTATTTAACTTTTACGAGCAGAGAGGCCGCTGCTCTGCAATCAACACAAAGGGACAGTTGCTGTCATACAAAATAAAAAAATATCACGACCTTTCTGTGATGTTTCATAATCTTCTCAAAATCCTTCTGTTCTCGGAGCACTCAAAGTTAGTCGATTTTTTTACATACTAATTAAATGCCAAGGTCATTTACACTGAGGTTTTTTTAAATATTCTCTCGGATTGAAAGGATATTCTGGTTAAAGTATCACATTAATAGGAGCACAACTTGGAAAGTTGGAACGATTGTAAATGAACGGCGTCAGTGTTTTGTGTTCGCTGCTCTGACCTCTGCGGTGTCGCTATCGACTATTATTAGTAAGTCTTCGGAACGTCTTCTTCTCCAGTTGTATATCATTTCAATGTTTTATTTGTTACACAGAAAGTACCGTGTAGCCAAGTTACCCATCTTGCTTCGGTGGCAACGGCTCGCAGCAGCCGCTAACAGCAGAGAGTTATCGCTGGGGTGGAAAGGAGCCCTGGCAGCAGCCAGCCAGGAATCAGAATCATAATATTCATGTAAACCGGAGGAATCCGATGAGCTATGACGCTCTCTTACACAGACGTCCATTCGGGGCGGGTAGGAACGTTACAACAACAAACAGTACAACAACATGATAGGAGTGAAAAGTATAAAAAAGGTAAACAAATCACCCAAACGCAAACAAATACAAACTAAACCATCCCCTGCCTACCTGGCAAAGCCCACTGAGGTATTAACTTCACTTTCACAAGCGAACTGCCCACAAATGACAGCTCAACAAAGTGGCCCCATCATTTGGACATTTATAGCAGCCAAATACTCTGAATAATCTCAATGCACGTTTCTAAATGTGGAGGGAATACCCCGGAGGGCGATTGACGCTGCAGCACGAGTCTGGACTGCGTCTTCACCAGAGGGTTAATTTATCACTCGGAATTTTACAGACCGCCGCTACTAGTCTGGCTTGGAGTTGGGATGCATTGGCGTAAGTCACTACCACTAGGGTACAAGCTACACGCCTTATCCGTAATAATCCTATGTTAGCGTACCCTACATTTCATAAATCCTGTTTGAACATATTTATCTGAAACATAAAAACAAATATAGAGGGGTAAAAGAGGGTAAGGTGGTTATGGTGTGGTCAAAATACATTTTCCGGAACACACATTCCGGACCGTTCTGGCTTTCATTCGCCGTTCTTAATTCCCCGAGTGCCTTACATTCCGGAGGGAGGAAAAAAAAGTGCGTGAGGAGTGAGGGCACTCCTCACTGCTTTCACAAAGCCCCCTACAAAGCACCCACAAAGCCAAGTGCGATGAAAACTCGGCACGCTTCACAGCTTAAAACCAGCGACCAGAACCTTTACAGTGTTTTCGCCAACGAAATACTTTTACACAAGTTGTAGTTTTTTTTTCTTCTTTTTTTTAAACCGGCAGCTCCATTGCTACTCCTGTGCCACGGGGCGGGACGGCGCGGTGGAGCACGCATTGCGCGCGCTCAAATCGACGAATTCCATGTGCCGGCAGCTCGCTCGATCGCCTCGGCTACCCATCCGGGCTCGTTATTTCACGTCGAAATGCGCGATGAGTGAAACGGAGAATAAAACCGCGTTGCGAACTCACGCGTGCGAGTTTTAATGACGCAACGCTCGCCAGCGCGTCTGTTTGTCCTCGAAAGTCTTTAATTAGCGGTATGGGAAGACAAAGGCTGGCTCTCTGGGCCAAACGCATTTGCATATTCGCAGCTTGTTGTTGTTGTTATCTGCATTGTATCTCCAAGTTGTTGCAAAGCCCTTTGATACTTTTGTCCGGTTTTCAGTACGGTAAGAGCCAGAGCGGCAACACAATGTTACGCCTCAGGTTCATTCACGTCGGGCGCTCTTTGCGAGTCTTACATACTTGTCAAACCCTTATCAGTGCCCTACCTTCTTAGAGATCAATTCAGACATTATTGGTCACCCCGTGCCCACTTAAAAATCTCAACGTGCGTCCTACAAAGTCCCATCACAAGTGAGAAACACAAACAAATGGACAACATTTCTTTGGCCGTATTGAAACGCCTGTACGCCGTGCGGACCTGAAAACTCAGTTTCCCTGTACACGAAAACAGGTAAACGGTATGGGTTGACAGCTATGCTACTATACACTACACTATACACTACACTTAACACTACACTACTATACACTACACTTAACACTACACTACTATAGACTGCACTACTAAATACCTTTTTGATTTAAAGCTTTCGTGACTGCAGGGATTCATATTCTTGGTTATTTCGGTAAAGTCACGTAGAAGGGAAACATTAATATAATAAAAATATAAAAAAATTAAATTCTCACGACGTTTCGACTGCAACACAAGCAATAATCATCAGGTGTGAAAACCACAACAGGAACATTTGAAAAAAGTGTTGTGGTTTTCACACCTGATGATGATTGCTTGTGTTGCAGTCGAAACGTCGTGAGAATTTAATTTTTTTATATTTTTATTACTTTATTGTTTCCCTTCTACGTGACTTTACCGAAAGAACCAAGAATATACTACATACTTGTTAACCCCTGATCAGTGTCCTACCTTATTAGAGACCAATTCAGACCGTATTGGTCACCCCGTGCCCCCTTATGAATCTCGACGTTCACCCTACAAAGCCCCGTCACAAGGGAGAAACACAAACAAATAGACAAAAAAACGTTTACACAATTCCCCTGTACAAGAATACGGGTAAACCGTATGGGTTGACAGGTGAGGTCTTGTTGCATTCACACTTTAAAAACCGACTTGGAAAGCGTTGAAAACCAAATTCTCTCCCAATGCTCAAATGAGCATAACGCAGGCACTCATCTCATAACTAGTGGTTGGAAATTCCATATTGCCACGGCGGGACCAAGTCATATTATTATTAGCTAACTCGAAGCCTTTCGCGTTCAATATTATCCATAATGAAGGGTTTTTTTTAGGTTAGATTGCATAAATATAAATGCGTCGTTAAACCCTCTACCACCTATATTCTTGGTTCTTTCGGTAAAGTCACGTAGAAGGGAAACAATAAAATAATACAAATATAAAACACCTGTCCGAGCCAATTTAGTAAAGTTTGTCACGTAAACAAAACGTGCCCCAATTAGTTACAACAAACGGTGTGTTGGAGAGTCAACCCACAAAATGTACGAATGGGGTGCGACGTTTCGCCGGCGATGGCAGCAAACAAGCGTCACCAGGCGGTTGGCCGTACATTGTGAAGAAAGTCCATCATTCCGTGACATAGGCACGGTGTCAGCCCCCTGCATTGCCAAGGGCAAGTTTCGCCGGCCCCGAACGCTTGCTGCTTGTGTGCGAAGGCAGTCTCGTTGGTCGTCAACGGGAGACGTTATCGCGGTGTCAAATATCGGGTGCCAATAACCCGTTTTTTTTTCTGTGCGCATTGTGCACCTGTGCAAACATTGAACGCAATTCGCCGGCTCTGTCATAACAGCTGAGGTGCACACGTGCACGCAATCGACTGAGAGATGAAGTGCTATCTCCAGCCGCCCACCCCCCTACCCCGCATAGAGACTTAATCGACTGTTGGGGGCCAAGTGCTGCCCGCGAGCACCAGTTAAATATACCCTGACGATGCCTGTGTATTTGGAGTTTGCGGTGTGTGTGTCTCGCTCCCTTTCTCTCTCCCCGTGGTCGCGGGGATCTTTTCTCCGGGTCCTCCGGTTTTTGTTTTTCCCTCCACTCTAAGAATCAACATCACCACGCGCTCAGAGTATTTGGTTGCGATAAATGTCCACGTGACGACGAGCCACTTCGTGTGGCTATCATTTGTGGTCAGGTCGCTTCGTAAAAAGAGCGATATAGCTGAGTGGGCCTTACCTGGTTAAAATAAAAATATATAAACGGTTTGTTTATTAAATAAGGCACGAACGGGGTAGTGTGATCAACACCATGCCCGGCCGCCTTTGTCTCACCAATGCGTATGTTGACACACCACACCAGGTACTAATTTAAAACTGAGCTCACGTAAGGGAGGGCCCAAGAGATGGTTCAAATATTCGTCGCTGATATTGGCCGTGAGCGGGATTCGAACGAGGTTTGTTTTGTACGCATAATGAACTTCTTTCGCACCAGAGCCAACCGTGCTCATCGGAGGTGCGGGGGAAGGACAACAAATGAAACACGAAAAGTAGATCTGAATACATGAGTTTGCAATCTAGATTTAAACGTGCATACCTCCATTTACGTCCGAATATCGGAAGGAAGAGCGTTCCAGACGGCCGCAGAAGCGCATCTGAGAGCGCGCTATCCGGTGACCGCCGCCTTTGCTTGATGGCTCGCAGCCAAAATACGCCGCTGGGAGGATGAGCAAAGTTGGCGTGATGGTGGTGCATGCTCCTTGAGATCAGCAAGGTATTGTGGTTCATTTGTGGCAAGCGCTTTTGTGTGTAAATGAGCGCGACCTTATAATGTGTTCGTTCGGCAACCGGAAGCCAATGGCAGCTCGGCGAGCACTGGACAGACAACGTCGGATCTTGTAGTGTGATACAGGGTGTTTAAACAAATAAAAGTGAACATTCCCGAGAAATTTGCAACAACAGCAGAAGAAACGTGCCGCCTCCCGGCTCTGGAGACACACCTGGAGGAGATTCCAGGCAATGTGTTGAAAACGATGGCGAACAAGTGGAGACTCTTTCACTTTTTTTTAAGCTATCAACGTTCATTTGTCACCATGTTACAGTGCATTATCCGTTCTTTTTCTGTTAAAAAACGATAGTCCCATTGCAGTGTTAACATCATTTTGAAGCGCCCTGTATATTGTCCGTGAGCGGGATTTGAACAGCGGTCGCTAACCACTGCGCCACCGCTCCCCCGCACATGTGCGCACGCGTGCACGCATACAACATCGCCAGCAGCACCTAATTATCACCAAGCCTTCACGTGTTCTCAATACCAACGAGCAATCAGAATTAGCGATCGCGTATCGTGTTGCTTCTCACACTGTCGATTGCTCCGAGGTAGTAATTGCGGGCCACTCATTATGATTCTGATATATTTTTTTTGCAAACAATGCCACTGATTGCTAATGCAATGATTAAATCATGTCCCCATAGTTCTGTAATAACATCACGCTCCGTGTTATTACACTTCGCAACAGCTTTAACAAAAAATATTCCCAATAATTATAATTTTAGCATACAACTCAACGATGGTGAGATGTTAACAACCACGCCTTGTATACAGGAGGTCGTGGGTTCGATCCCGACCCTGAAGTCTGTATATTTGGAGTTTACGGTGTGTCTCTCTCCTCGTGGTAGCGTGGATTTGTCTCTGGCTCCTCCGTTTTTTTTGTCCCTCCGCATTTAGAAACGTGCGTTTAGAGCAGGGGTCACCAAACTACGGCCCGCGGGCCGCATCCGGCCCGCGACGTAAGTCCATCAGGCACGCCGACGGTACTTGAATTTGGTTGATAAAACGTATGGAACACGAGACGTTGTGATACAATTTAAATTTATATATTATGTTTAGAATACTAGGAGATCTTCACGCGTGCGGAGACCTTACTTAAATTTACCATTTTAAATTTTAAATTATTGTATCTAGATGTTCTTGTTTATTGTAACGTTTGCTTATTTCGCACCATCCCAAGTCCTTCCCCGGCTCGTGGTAGCTCCGCCTTACGCTCTGACGTTACCACGGTTTCCATGGCAACGTCATGGCAACACGTTACCATGGTTTCCATGGCAACACACACAAACACGCATCTTTCCCGCCCCCAAGTATTGAACAGAATGATTTTGCGGCCCGCGCTCGTCATTCCATCAGTTATCCGGCCCGCTGTGAAAAAAGTTTGGTGACCCCTGGTTTAGAGCATTGGTTCTTAAGCTGGCGTGCACGCACCCCCTGGGGGTGCGTGATGCCCTTTCTGAGAATCAAAGGGGCGCAAGCAGCAGTCAGGGTTAAGCGCCACTGGTTTGGAGTTTTTGGCTGCTATAAATCCCCACGTGACAAGCCACGTCGTTGAGCTTTCATTTGTGGCCAGGTCGTCTTTGAGCTATGATTTGTGGCCAGGTCGCTTCTGAAAAAAAAAATAGCTTTTCAGCTCAATGGGGCCTTACCTGGTCAAAATTAAATACATAGTTTAGTAAAAAAATAATAATCATACCCAGCATCACAAATTCCAACAGGTGGAGTTTTCGCACCGATGGACACGACACCAACCTATCAATCATCCACGTCACATTGATCTGCTTATTACTTCCGGTGAAGTGTCCCTCCCCAATATGCCACGTGCAGTCAATTCCCCACGTGCCGCATTGTTGAAGGACGACCAGATGCGGGTGATTGGGCGGAGGGGGTTGCCTTGAAAAAGAAGCGGATTTATCAGACGCAAAGAGAAATCTTGATTTGAAGCTTTCGTGACTGAAGGAATCAATATTCTTTGGTTCTTTCGGTAAAGTCACGTGGGTAGAAAAACAATAGAAAAACTGCTACTTCAGCAGTTTTTTTTCTTGCTGTGGTTGTCTCACCTGATGACGATTGCTAGTGTTGCGATCGAAACGTCGTGATCTATTATTTTTTTCTACCTACGTGGTTTTACCGAAAGAACCAACGAGTATACAAAGATAAATATTCCCCGTATAACTTTGTAACAGACGGAGAAGTGATGTTAGGGAGCACATTTGAAAGCCGGCACGGCACACGAAGGGGTGGCTGGCCGGCCGCCTTTGTCTCCCCAGTGGCGATGTTCACTAATTTGAGGCTACGTCGACCTAGGGGAGGCCCAGAACCGGTTCAGATAATCGTCATCGGTGTTGGTGGCCGTGAGTGGGAATCGAACTCGGGTTGCATGCAGTGCGCAGGTCAACAAAATACAAACGTCATCCCAGGTATCGTCTAATACGTTGACCGTTGGGGTAATTGCTTTTGGCGAGCACCTATCATTTACATTCATGAACGATGCACGAATAAATGGTGTAGCGAACGCCACGCCCGTCCGCCTCTGTCTCCCCACTGCTGAGATTGAAGTTTACACTCCACCCCAGGCGCTCATTTAAAAGGCGAGCCGAACTCAAACGGCGCGTTCGTAAATGCCCCCCCCCCCCCCCCCCAGGTGGCTCAAGCGTTCACATTTTCCCGCACGGAGCCACTTTTATTTGCCGTGACACGGAATTGAACTCGGATTGCTCCGGGATCGTAGGGCGGACGGTGCGTCAACCCCCCTCCACCCCCTGCAAGACAAAAACAAAGATCCCCCGTATAGCCTGTAACAGACTGTTGGGGCAAGTGCTGTTCACGAGCACCTATGAATACCGCCACGGTACACGAAGGGGTGGGTGGCCAACACCACGCCCGGCCGTCTTTGTCTGCCCCAGTGGCGATGTTCACACCCCGCACCAGGCACTCATTTAAGGCTGAGTCGACCTAGGGGAGGCCCAGAACCGATTCAGATAATCGTCACTGTTGCTGGTCGTGAGCGCGAATCGAACTCTGCTCGCCGGGTTCTTCTGTATATTTGCACGTGTGCATGGTGTACAGCACCTTCTGTCTATCCACTGCTGGATGAGGACCGCCCGCAAAACGTCTCGGGAGTCGAGAAGGGTTCTTTGACCATACTTCTCCACGCCGGTCAACGTTGATTGACGACGGGGAGCGTAACTCATGTAGCCACACTGCCCTCTGCTGCCCACTAAATATATGTACGTTGCAGCCTATAGCACCTGTGGGGTTTGTTAGCGTTGCATTGTGGGTCGCTAATCCCATAACTATTTAGGGCTCAAAATCCTGCTCGGATTTCGAAATCGGAGATGATCGTGCGCATTCCGCTTCGCGCATCTGCAGAGCGTTTACATCAATTAAATTTCACTGTCGCTTTCGTAAACAGTTGGTGGCGATTGAGTGATCGCAGTGTCATCTGTGTGTGTGTGGTGTAGACATGGGGAGCCGGGAGTGCAGCGGGTTAGGGCGCTGCACAACGAACCGAGACCTGCCCGAGTTTGATTCCAGCTCACGGCCAACACCGGTAACGATGATCTGAACAGGTCGTGGGCCTCCCCTAGGTCGACACAGCCTCAAATAAGTGCCTGGGGTGGGTTGCGTAAACATCGCCACTGGGGAGACAAAGGTGGTCGGGCGTGGTGTTGGCCACCCACCACCCTGTGTGCCGTGCCGACCTTAATAGGTGCTCGCTAACAGCACTTGCCCCAAACGTCTGTTAAGGCTCCGCGGGGGATCTTTGTCTTTGTAAAAAAAAATGTCAGTGCGCGTAATACCTCGACACGCTTTGAAGTGTGACGTGCACCGGTAAATGAACACACCATCATGAGCGGCGTTCACGTTCGCCTGAACCATGCATCCGTTCACACGCCAGCATTCGGATCGTACGGCCGTCCACGTTACATTGAGTTCGAGCTGCCCACGAAAGACGGCACGCTTGGGCACACGTTTCCAATCAGATTCCAACGTTGGATCAACGTTTACTGGGTATGCATGCAGCCAAATACACAATAGATACACTCAGGTCGTGTATACATACAGACACAAGCACGCATTGCGTACGTACATATATCACACGCACTTTGTATGAAACAGAAACACAAAATGCATACAGTGCGTATAGACATGCACAGTATAGACACATAAAGTACAGGCACTGACATATGTATGTTGAACTTCTTTCACACCGTACGTAGCCAATCGGAGGTACATACAGACGCACACAATGCATGTACAGTTGTACATACACGCACAGTATTGTCCAGCATAGACAAATAATATATCGTACATATGTAAGCATAGTACACAGACACACACTGCTGGTGCGAGCGAGTTGGGACCCATGAAGTCCGGCACGGCACACGAGGGGGTGGGTGGCCAACACCACGCCCGGCCGCCTTTGTCTCCCCAGCGACGATGTTTACTTACACACCGCACCAGGTACTCATTTGAGGCTGAGCCGACCTAGGGGAAGCCCACAACCGGATCAGATAATCGTCACTGGTGTTGGCCGTGAGCGGGAATCGAACTCGGGTCGCTGGGGTGGTCCCGTTTATACCTAGCACGATACATTGATAAAGTCCGTATAAGGAAAGCAGGCATACAACTTATAGTACATAGCATGCACAAATATAGCACATGCATACACACAATACACACGCATAATGCTTTCAGTACATAGCTACACATTACCTATGCGACAGACACAATATAATACATACAACAAAGGAACACACAATACATATTGTACGTTGGTTGTATGTATTATATTGTGTACACACGGTAGTTGTGGTATTGACACAATGTATAATACATACGCAGTGCGTAGACATACACCACACAAAGTGCACATCTACACACTGCATACACAACAGACACGATACATACCTTTAAGCATACACACCGCGTTTAGCACATACACACGGCGAAACACAAAGATCCCCCGTATAGCCTTAACAGACTGTAGGGGCAAGTGCTGTTAGCGAGCACCTATAAAGGCCGGCACGGCACACGAGGGGGTGGGTGGCCAACACCACTCAAGGCCGCCTTTGTCTCCCTAGTGACGATGTTTACACACCGTTCCAGGTACTCATTTGAGGCTGAGTCGACCTAGGGGAGGCCCGGGACCGGCTCAGATAATCGTCACTGGGTGTTGTCCGTGAGCGGGAATCGAACCCGGGTCGCACAGGTTCATAGCGCAGCGCGCTAACCGCTACACACACAAACACAGCCCCCGAATAACCTTAAACAGACTGTTGGGGCGAGTGCCGTGAGCGAGTCGCAGCAGCAGCAGCAGCTACCAAGGGGGTGAATTGAGTGGGCGCACGAGGGGGTGTGGGGTGGCCGGCAGCGGTGTTTACCGCACACCGCACGTGCCGCGCACATCCTTACCTTCAGCAGCAGCAGCAGCAGCCTTGGGCGATTGATACATTCCGAGGCGCAAGCCTCTCCACAAACTCTTCAGCTCAGAAGTCGCGGCGGCAGCAGCAGCAGAGTTCAGTCCAACCAAACTCAACCATTCAAGAATCCGTGCAACCGCGCTCCCCGACAACCCATCCCATCCACCACCACGGCGCCTCTCTCTCTCTCCGCTCTCTCCGCTCTCTCTGTCCGCTCTCTGTGTCAAAGACTCTCCAGCCCCGAGTGAGCGAGCCCACACGCACAGCAGCAACAGCGGAAAAATAAAAAAAAACCCCAACACGTTCCCCGAGTCTCGGCACTTCGCGTGCGAGAGGGGAGTGAGGGAGGAGAGCGAGAGAGGAGAGAGGGTGCCCGTCGCCTTACCCAGAGAGAAGAGTGACGAGTGCTCGCTCGTGCTGATGCACTCTTATTATAACGTTTCAAAAACACACACAGATACAAAGATCCCCCGTATAGCCTCAACCGACTGTTGGTGCAAGTGCCGTTAGCCAGCACCTATGAAGGACGGGACGGTACACGAGGGGGTGGGTGGCCAGCACCACGCCCGACCGCCTTTGTTTCCCCGGTGGCGATGTTTTTACACGCCGCACCTTAGTACTCATTTGAGGCTGAGTCGACCTAGGCGAGGCCCAGGACCGGTTCAGATAATCGTCACTGGGTATTTGTCGTGAGCAGGAATCGATCTCGGGTGGCCGGGTTCGTAGCGCAGCGTAGCGCTAACCACTGCACCACCGCTCCCCCACTTATAACGTTACACAAACAAAGATCCCCCATATAGCCTTAACAGACTGTAGGGGCAAGTGCTGTTAGCGAGCACCTATGAAGGCCAGAACGGTACACCAGGGGGTGAGTGGCCAGCACCACGCCCGACCGCCTTTGTCTCCCTAGTGGCGATGTTTACACACCGCACCAGGTACTCATTACACACACACGCACGCACACGCGCGCCAGTCACATCCAAAGGGATGCATGCTCACTCACACTGGGGTGAACGAGAGACTGACTGGTCACGTTTCAGCTATTCGCTCTGAGTGTGTGTGTGTCGGTGCTAGCTAATCGCACTTAACCCCAGCAGTGTGGCTAGGTTACATGGGGGATCTTTATCTGTGTACTCGATGTGTGAAACTGAATGCTTACACTGGATGGACGAGTAACTGATCACGTCTCAGCTACCACTGTGTGTGTACATGGTGTGTGTTCATGGTGTGTGTACATAGTGTGTGTACATTGTGTGTACGTGGTATGTGTATTTTGGTGTGCATAGTGTGTGTACATAGTGTGTGCGCATTGTGTACGTGGTGTGTGTTTGTACATGGTGTGTGTACATGGTGTGTGTGTGTGTGCATGGTGTGTGTGTGTGTGCATGGTGTGTGTGTACATGGTGTGTGTGCATGGTGTGTGTGTACATAGTGTGTGTATTTTTGTGTACATGGTGTGTGTACATAGTGTGTGCGCATTGTGTACGTGGTATGTGTGTGTGTGTTTGTACATGGTGTGTGTGCATTGTGTGTATATGGTATGTGTACATGGTGTGTGTACATGGTGTGTGTGCATGGTGTGTGTACATGCTGTGTGTGTGTACATAGTGTGTGTACATGCTGTGTGTGTGTACATGGTATGTGTGTACATAGTGTGTGTACATGCTGTGTGTGTGTACATGCTGTGTGTGTACATAGTGTGTGCACATGCTGTGTGTGTGCGTGTGCATTGTGTGTGTGGGTTCCTGGTCGCTAGTGGTACTTGCCTCCGCAGCCCGTGTAGTTATAGACAAGGGTGGTCTTTGTATGCTTGACTGTGGTAGGAGCGGAGGCGTGCTGGCAAGCGCGCTGCACTACCAACCCGGGCACCCCAAAGTTCAATTCCCGCCCGTGGTTAACACCACCTGCGATTAACTGAGCTGTCCTCCGATGTCGGCTTCAAGTGATGGCCCGGCCTGCTGAATAAACATCAGCGCTGGGCAGACAAAAGTGATGGGGCGTCATTGTAGGTCACACGACGGCTCACAACCACCCTCCCTCGTGCGCTGTGCCTACCTCGAATGATTCCTAACAACACTTGCCCCAATTAGTCCATGTAGGCTACACAGGGGATATTTGTCTTGGCGCTTGTGGTACGTACTGCCTCTCTCTCTCTTGTGTACTACAGTGGTGTTATGGTTAGAGCACTCGAAATTACAGATTCCTTTTTCGATTTCCCGGTGCGGCAGTGGAAACAATGGGCACATTATTTAAATTTCGGCCCGCTTCTCAGTTATTTCATTGGCACGGTTCGCGTCTGGCGGGGTGATGCATGGGGACTCTCGCCTCTTCCAACACTTCTTAGAGGGGTTCCTCCACCAAAGTTCCCTCCAGTGGAGACAAATCCGCCAACAGTGGCTTAAAGCAAAGCAATTGCAGGGCTGCGCCTTTGCCGATGTACTTGAGCAAACAGTTCAGCGCGTAGGCTTCGGTGACCAATATTATCCATAATAGAGGGGGGGGGGGTTTGGGGGGGGGGATAGATCGCGTAAATGTATAAATGTGTCGTTAAACCCCGCCACCACCCGACAAAGCCAATTAGTAAAGTTTGTCACGTAAACAGAACGTGGCAATTCGTTACTAGTACAGCACTACACCGGTGTGTTGGAGAGTAAAGCCACAACATTTACAATTCGAGTACTCGAATTGGTGTGCTGAACTAGTAACGAATTGGCCTGTTGTGTTTACGTGACGAACCTCGCTAATTGGCTGTGACGGCTGGTGGCGGGTTTAACGACACATTTCTATTTACGCTATGTAACCCGAAAAAAACCCACCTCCATTATCGAGCAAACAGAACGGGCCTTCCGGCGAAATGTCAGAATCAGGTTCTGACGTGCGGATGGAGCACGCGGACAGACATCGTGTAGTGTGATTTAATATCCAAAATAAATTATACATAGGCCTGTGTTTGCGAATAATGCCACGTGTGTTGTAAATAGTTAAACATATTTAAACATCGGCTAGGCTCCGCGTGAGCTGTTGCTCATAGAATGACCGAACCACGTCGAGAATTTTTCATTTTACAGAACAACAAAGGACGTCAAAAAACACGCGAGGCGACCTTTCGGGCTTCTCGTCTTTCTCGCGAGCACGCAGACAGGCCAGCGAGGTAGGATTGTATTGACGAATGCGTTTTGGTTTATTGTTGTACGTTGTCAGTCAATCGTTTTGGCGGAACGATGGAATCGAGGTAGCCAAACGCTGCACCACCGCTCCGTACGCACGCACGCACACACGCACACACGCACACACGCACAAATATCCCCCGTATAGCCTTCACAGACTGTAGGGGCAAGTGCTGTTAGCGAGTAGCACCTATGAAGGCCGGAACGGTAAACGAGGGGGTGGGTGGCCACCACCACGCCCGACCGCCTTTGTCTCCCACGTGGCGTTGTTTATACATCGCACCAGGTACTCATTTGAGGCTGAGTCGACCTAGGGGAGGCCCGAAAACGGTTCAGATAATCGTCACCTGTTGGCCGTGAGCGGGAATCGAACCCGGGTCGCCAGGTTCATAGCACAGTGCCCTAACCGCTACACTACCGCTCCCCACACACACGCACACACACACACACGCATTCACACGCAGACACACATACACAAACACGCACACGAGGGTGGCAAAGACAAAAAAAATCTCCGAATTGAATCTAGAAGGGACGTAGCAGAGCCCAATGATGTCGCGGGCGCTTCGAGTCGCGGGATAGGTCGACTCGATCAGACAGGGCACAATATTCCAGTGAGCATGCTGCATGCCGGCGAGATGTCCTATCTCGGTCCACGTTCCCTTGAATCCACCCCGCCTCTGTCCACCCACCCAGCAGTGGAGAAGAGCAGAACCACAGCTAGTTAGTCGATAATCATGCATCGTGTGGTGGGGTAAATTGTGAGTACTTCTAAGACGTCTGGTCAGCGTAGAAGAGTAGGCCAAAAGAGCCACTTGAGTGGCTCTCTCGAGCTTATCCCCTAGTGGAGGCCCTTTGGCCAGCGGTGGCATCGGCAAGCAACTTGCAGGGCTGCGCCCTTGCCATCTACTCTAAGACGACAGCACTATTGTTGCTGCGGGAGGAGGGATGCAGCTACACAGAGTTCCGAGCCGTATATGAGAGACAATACCAGGGACCATTGTTGCGGCAGCCTACTGCGACTCCACGTTGAATGCAATCACTCGGAGCGGTGCGCAACAATGGCAGATTGTTCCGTTCTTTATGGACGCTTCAGCGATTTCACGCGGCCCAATGATGGGCGCCGAAAAGTAAATAATAAAATCAGAAAATCAAGCGTCGTGCTGCCATCAAAACTCTTCACGCAGGAGAGCGACCGCACGACTGGACACCTGTGCAAAAAGAGCTTGATAGCTCATCGGCTTCCTCCAGTATTTAAAAAACAATTCTGATTCTGGATGGCAATTTAGGACCGCGTGCTGCAACGGGGCCCAGGCTTACAGAGCGGCGCTGCAAAATTCCGTGGCGACGGCGACGGCGGCACGGAGACTTTTGAAGACGACGACACCCAGGGTCACGGCGGCCTGTGCAGATCAAGGGCGCGTCAGAGGCTTCGGCGGTGGGAGGCCGCAGTGTTGGCTGGGGCACCGGGGCGCTGTCAGCGTGGGCATCGGCGTGGGGTGGAGCGGAGGGACCCGGCAGGAAGCTGCTCACGTGGCGGCGAACGCGGCGTGAGCGCGGTGCCCCCTATAGCCGACACGCAACATCGACTTCAGAGCCCTCCCCTCGGTACCTTGCTTTTTTACTTCTCTTCTCGCACCCAAACTTTATTCACAGATGGTTGGGGGGGGGGGGGGTCAAACAGTGTTAAGATAACAAAAGGGGTTCCGCAGGGTTCCATCCTCGGCCCCCCTCTTGTTTCTCTCTTTATGTTAATGACTTGGGCACTGACCTGGATCATTCCAGGGTAAAACTTTTTTGCAGATGACACGATACGGATTACTGCTGGCCGCTCTCCGGATGACGTGATTGCTAAGCTCCAGGGTGATTTCAACAAACTACAACATCAGCTAGTTGCTCTTAAATTAGTCCGGAATACCTCCAAAACTAAGGTGCTATGCTTCTCACCAGGACTAAAGCAGGAAGTTATTTTTCCCCAATTATATTCCTAAAATAATCATCAAATATAGCAAGTCAAGATCTATAAGTTTGTTGGGGTCATCTTTGATTCAAAACTGAAATTTCAAGATCACATTGATTATCTTGATAAAAAGACAAAATAGAAAAATGGTTTTCTGTATCGACACAAGCACTGCTTCCCCCCTATGTTCCACTTGGAATTGATAGAAGCTACCGTACTGCCTCTACTTGATTACTGTGACATCGTATATAAATCAGCCCCCAGTACTATACTGAAGAAGGTTGACTCAATTTATCACTCGGCCTTAATATGTGCATTGAACTGCCCATATAGGACCCACCACTGCGATCTCTACATTGGGTCAAACTTAACTTATATTAATGATCAACGGCTTGTGCATCAGATCTTA